AGAAAAAAATTCAATTTTCTCCACAATTGTTTTTATTGGGTATAGTTAAGGGTTTTACACGGGGTGAAATAAAACTAATATTGTATATGATAACAGCAGCAAGATTGTTGATAGGTAAATATTGGAAGAATGAAGTTTTGCCTACTATCGAGGAATGGACTTTGAAGATGGCAAGCTTTGCAGAGATGGCGAAGATCTCAGCATATTTAAAAGATTGTTCACAAGAGACTTATGAATGGGAATGGAAAAGGTGGATAGAATATGTTCAGAACAAATACCAAACTAGAAAGTATCAAATAGCTTTTATTTGAAAATAATGTATTAGAAATATCTTAATGTAAAGAGACAAAGAGGAAAAATTATATAGGGGGAGGGATGGGTTCAGGTTTATATATCAGTGTTATTAGTTATGAGTACATAATAGGGAAGTCTGGGGGGGGAGGGTTAGGGAGGGTTAGGGAGGACGGGAAGTTTGGGGAGGGAGGTGGGGGGGTGAAAAAAAGGGGTGAAAATGTAATTGTAAAACTTTTGCAATAAAAAAAAAAATACATGCTGATCTGTCACTGTGGCCTGAAAGCATCTGAGAGCAAGGTGGACCGCCTTCAACTCTAGCCAATTTATGCTGTTCTTATGCTTCGCTGGGGACCACCGTCCCTGAGCCACCTGAGAACATAGGTGCGCATCCCAGCCAAAAAGGCTCGCATCCAAGGTCACCGTGACACATTCAGGTTCCTGGAACACACACCCTTTTTGGAGGGCCACAGACTCCACCATCTCAAGGAAAGGCGGACCTTTGGCGGAATGGTCACTTTGGCCTTGGAGTTGCTGAGCCCCAATCTCTGGAATGGCAGTAAAAAACATTGTAGTGGGCGAGCATGCTGTCATGCCCAGGGCACGATTGAAATACACAAAATCATTTTCCTGAGCAACTGCAACAGCAGGAGCAAGGGAACCATCCGTTGGGATGTAATTTATGTCACCAACTGTCTGAGACTGAATTGGCGATTGGGTGACTGATACACTTGGCCCTCGATCAAGTCGATCACCACCCCCGGGTGAAGAATGCAGGTCATTGGTTGCAGGTGGCTCTTCTTCAAGTTGAGGGAGAACTCGTGTTTTGAAGAGTGTGAATCACTGTTTCGCTGTCCTGAACTGCCTGCGACTGGGAGGACGACAGAATCAAAATGTCGTCCAAGTAGCAAAGTATGCGTACTGGAATCATTTTGACAATCACCGCCACTGCCGCTAACAATTTGGTGAATGTCCTCGGGACCGACAAGAGACCGAAGGGCATGGCCCGATATTGGAAATGGTGATTGGCATATGTGAAGCGGAGATACTTGAAATGTGTTGGGTGGATCAGAACATGCAAGTAAGCTTCCTTGAGGTCCACCAATTGCAAGAGGTCGGCCTGCCTGATGCATCCCAAGATTGATCGCAGGGATTGCATCTTGAATCGCCTGTACAAGATGTAACAATTGAGTTGTTTGAGATTTAAGATCTGTCTCCAGCCCCCCAAACTCTTGGGTACCAGGAACAGGATGGACTAGAACCCGGTTCTTTCTTGGCTGAGTGGTACCACCTCAATAGCTCGAATGTCCAAGAGATGTCGAATCTCGGCATCCATGAGTTCTTTTTTTAAAAGGTTCTGAGAGACCGGGCACTGGAGGTAATGGTCGGGAGGGCTGGAGCACAATTCCAAGGTGAGGCCGAACCCCACTGTCTGGAGAACCCAAGCATTGGTTGTAGATAGCTCCCATTAAGGATGGAACAAATGAAGATGACCATCAATGAGAACAGCCGTCCGGGAGTCACTTGCCCCTTCGGAAGGACTGGTAACAAGTACCTCGAAAGGGCCTCTTTGCTGAAGGCTGGCATCCGCCACGATCCCTGAAGGTCTGTCTGTCAGTAAGCTGATCAAATCCCTGAGAATAGGGACGCTGGGAATAGGACCTGCTGGGTCCTAAATCAGGTTGAAAGGGCTGCCTTTGCGAGTACAGAGAATATCTGCGATCTGGTCTCCTGTAAGAGGAGGGTAAAACCTTCCGTTTGTCCTTGTTCTCAATGAGTATCGGATCTAGCACCTCTCCAAAAAGCACCGACCCTTTGTAAGGAGCCGAAGCGAGTTTCCACTTCGACTTCATATCTACTCTCCAATTGCATAGCCATAGGAAATGGTGAGAAGTTACGGTAGAATCTAAGGCCCAAGAGGCAAATTTCGCCGCATCCAAGGATGTGTCAGATCAAATACTTGGTGGCAGCTACCAGATTCTTAATGTCCTAGTGTAGCCTAGTATCCTCCAGTGGTAGCCGCTCCTGTAATTGGTGAAGCCATATCAGGGACCTCCGTTTAAAAGGGTGATGTTGTGGCCCTAATGACCCAAGTGGCCGCTTGGTGTGTCTTTCAAAAGGAAAGTTCGGCCTTCCTGACCTCAGTCTTAAGACTGTCCATTATGTTGTTGGAAAGGACAGTGGAGGATGTGAGACTAGCCACTGGGGCATCTACAGAGGGCAATTGCAACAGTTCCTCCAGGTCTGGAGCAGGGCAATAAAGTTTTTTATCATGTCCACTAGGGGCGGCCAGGGAACCAGGCTGAACCCATGGCCTTTGAACCACCTCAGAAAACAGCTTTGGACAATGAATAAACTCCTGGTCAGATTTTGGTATCCTAAACAGATCATCATGAGGATTCGTAGATCCTTGAGGTTGTTCAATAGAACCCTCAACCACTCCAATATTGGTAGTCAGTTTAGCTTTATGGAGCAGGGGTTTGAAGACCGAGGGACGGAAGAGGCCTGTAAACACTGGCCTATCTGGCAGCAATCCCTCATTCTCAGAAAATTCCAAATCCTCTGGATAATCATCTTCCAGCACGGAATCGTCACTGTGTGAGGAATCCTGCTGAGAGAGAGAATCAGTCCTGTCAGCCAAATGTGCTGACATTTGTAGCCTTAGATTGGGAGCCATGAGTGGTATCTGGCTACCCTGCTGAATCCCAGCCACCAACATTTTGGAAAGGGACTCAGAAATCAGAACCTGAATGTCCATTGGCTGGGCAAGCGCCTGCCCCTCCCCTGCATGGAGCCCCGCTGCGGTTGGGGTGAATGTAGCTTCTGGAACCTGCTGCCTGGCTGCTGGCTGTCGATGGAACATGTGTCGCCATGCTCTGGGCTGCAAATGGGTCCCTGTATGAGACTTCAATCAGAGGCTGTGGGCAAATGCCAGCCTCAGTCGGAGCTAAGACTTGGAGCCCTTCAGTCATGCCTTGTGTTAAAGGGACACTATCAGTCTAATCAGACAAATTGGCATCAGTGGGAGAAACTCGCTTATGCTCTGCAGCCTGGGCAGTGCGATGTGCCTTATCAAATTGCCTTTCTAAAGCTTTGTGACATCTAAGTGCATCCTTGTCCATCACAGCAGGTCTTTTAGAAGACCCAGATGAAGAGGGCCTAGGCTTAGCTGATTTACTCCTGGTGGTCACCTTAGCCCTTTTGGATCCAGAGTATTTTGATCTATGGGCCTTGTGAGGGCTAGCAGGTTGCTCAATGTCAGAAGACAGAGCCGAATCAGCCATGATATCCACAGGTGTAATAAGGCTGCTGACAGGCCTAAGGGTAGAAGGCAATGAAGCACTTCAGTTCAACAAAAGGCCAGAAAGCCTTTTGCCAAAAGGTCCTCGCTAAGGAAGCATTAAAGCTGCCCCCAGAAAGACCAGTCTCACAATTGCCAGTACTGGGACAGATACTGGACTCAGAAGCAAGTAATACAGGCCTGGCAGTGACGAGTTGAAAGATGTTCTCCTCAATGCTACGTCCAAACTGCTGGGAATGGCGATGCAATGTCTCACAAGCTCTTCCAGCACCAGCTCAGGCCACAGTAATACCAAGAACCAGGTGCAGGAATCAAACCTGACCCCTTAAGCGCCGCTTCACCAACAAAACCACTCCTGTGTGCAGCTCGAAGCGCGAGACAGCAGGGCGTCTCCAAGAGCCGCCGTAGTTGATACAAGAAACAAAATGGTGGGCGCGAGTGTGAAAAATGCTCTCCTGCACCACCGTGGCTTGCTGCAAAGAATAAATGGCGTGAAAGCTAATCTTAGCCCTCCCAGTGCTGTGAAGCTCAATCCTGGTTTTCAGAGTTTGCCACGGGTCCCCATGCAGTGACTCCGGAGCCACCTTATGATATCGGAGTGGTGATGGTGGTGGCGGTTGTGCCGGCAGACTGGGAAACCAGCTCATCCACCGGCGGCAAATTCAAATAGTGGAGATGCCCTAGAAAGGAACACAACTCTGTAACACAGCCTCTATCCGGATTTGCGGGGGGGGGGGGGCTTCCAAAGAGAATGAACCAAAAAAACCAAAAGTCCTGAATAATCCAATGCAAGGTATCTAACAGTCTTAAGGGTCAAAGAAAGCAAATTCACGTCTCTATAGCAGACTGAGTGAAAAAGACTGAAGCTCAACGAGCAAGGAGGCGTGGCTAAACACTTTGAAAAAAATCTACACTCAGTCTCTGGCAAATAGACAAGTGATGACTCATGCATGGATTATCCGAACAGCACTCTGGAAAACAGCAAGGAACCTTCTAAAAATTAACTTAATTTTCCTTCTTATTAGCTGAAAAAGAATACATATTCCCATGTCCCAGACAGAACACTACATGAGGGATGGCTTTGGTTCAGGGAATTAGTCCCCAGCTCTTTCCTAAATGGAGAGAGAAATTTTGAGTCCTCTTCAAAAAGAAGACAAAATATTTAGGAATTATTTCTGAGTATGAAATTGTATTTTTTATAGGTTTTACTCTGTTATTATTTTAGGCATCATCATTTCTGTCTCATTTACATTTACTCAGAGGACCAGTTTATAAATAATTAATACTTTGTTTAACCATGACATGGTATTAAGAATGACTAGACAACACAAGTTGCTTCTATTTGACAGTATACCAAAAAAAAAAAAAAAAAAGCCCCAACCCAAACTATGTAAATATGCCTACTTACAGGAATGAAGTTTTCTATTTCACAGGGTCCATCAGGGTATCTTTTATTTTCTAAGAATATTATATTTCTTTATTTTCACACTTTTTGTTCCTTTTAAAAAATATTATTCAGAAAGGGAAATAAAAAGACAAAATGATATAACTGTAATAGAATACAGAAGAAAAGAACAAAGGCATTCTCCAAACAATAAGACATAGATCAGAATACTGGATTAATATGTAAAAGGTTCTCATTTTTTTACATCATGTTATAATCATATTGATCAGTCTCTACATTACCATCCTTAAACATTATTTCTCCTCCAAAATCATATTAACCATAGTGTATATATACTTTATATGATTTATGAACAGCACGTTATATCCTTCGTACTATTAATATTCCTACCTACATTAAGCAAACTATGGTGGCCCCATTAATACCCTGGCTCTAGCCCTGCAGAATATCTGGGTCTTCACTCTTTTTCTGCTTTTCTAGAAAGTTGTGACATTCATATAATTAAAATTGGAGGAGGAAAGAAAAAGATATACTTCCATAAACTGGACAGAAAGCAGAATCTACATGCAATTAAGTATGCTTTTAAGAAAAATCATATTTTTTGAAACAGATCCTCTATCTGCCAGGCAACATTTCAATCCAATACAAATTTGATCTTTCTTCTTCTCTTCAATTCAGTGGTGGGTTCTAAAATTTTTTACTACTGGTTCTGTGGGCGTGGCTTATTTTGTGGGCATGGCTTGTAGGGGGGGAATGTACTGGGTGGGCATGGCCAACTTTTTTTTTTTTTTTTACTTTTAAAAGCATTTTTTCTACAAACTTAAGAGGTTGCAGAAAAAAATGCTTTTAGAAGCCTCTGACAATCAGGCAAATCAGCTGGGATCGCCAGAGGCTTTTAAAGGCATTTTTTCCCTAAAATGCTTTTAGAACAGTAGTTCTCAACCTTCCTAATGCCACGACCTTTAATACAGTTCCTCATGTTGTAGTGACCCCCAACCATAAAATTATTTTCGTTGCTACTTCATAACTGTAATTTTGCTACTGTTATGAATTGTAATGTAAATATCTGATATGCAGGATGTATTTTCATTGTTACAAATTGAATATAATTAAAGCATAGTGATTAATCACAAAAACAATATGTAATAAATGAGGAAGGTCAGCATGCATTGGTAGGAGTGAGTTGCTCATAATTTTTCTGCTTCTCCCATCCTTCTTGTGTCATCTACGAACACAGCTCTGGTTTTGAGGCCTTGCAATGAATATAAATCCTTCCATTCCCCACCATCTCTAGTCAGAGTTTCTTGGTGGATGAGAAGCCAAAACGTCTTCAAAGAAAAAACAAGGAACTCCAGTTGCCTCTTGGGGAAAAAGAGCAACTTTGGGACATGACTTAGCAGCTGCTAGAAAAGGGGGGTATCATATTTTCCGAAGCAGAAGGAAAACACGCATACAAGGCTGAGTGTGCCGAGAGAGGCCCAGGCCTCCGGGGGAAGGGATTGAAGCCCCAGTCTGCTGCTCCTTCCATTGTATGGAAAGACCAATATACTGCTTGAATTATCCGTTCCCTCCCTTCCCTCAGTCCTGTTTCATGGCTTCCCAACTTCCTCATCCTCTGTTTTCTCGCTGTTTTTTCCAAGCAGCCAAGAGAGAATGGGCTTGCCAGGCTGTCACAGTCTCCGATGCCTGCGATGCCAGATCTCGCCTCCCGCCTGGCCGAGAGACTCTTCTTTCCTTGGCAAAGCACTTCATTATTGCAGGGCAGGGGACACGGGCGGCGCCGGGGGATCCGTGCAGCTACTATCCCACCCCTCCTCAGCTTCGGTCACGCTGCAAGGCTCCAACTCAAGGAGAAGAAGACGGAGGAAGAGTGGGGTGGGGGAAGTCCAAACTACCTCGAGCAAGCCGCAGCACTATTATGCAGGGCTCCGAGTGGTTGGAGAAGAGGCAGAAACAGCAGCCAGGGCTGCACTTTCAGCGGGTAAGCAACGCTGCCTCTGCCATGAGGAACTTTGGAGAGAGAGGGCAGGGGCAGGCTGTGGGAGCAGCCTGTCTCTTAGCTGGCGAGAATGGCCACAGCCTGCCCTTGCCCTCTCTCTCCAAAGTTCCTCGCGGCAGAGGCAGCATTGCTTACCCACTGAAAGCGCAACCCTGGCTGCTGTTTCTGCCACTTCTCCAACCACTTGGAGTCCTACGTAATAGCACTGTGGCTTGCTCAAGGTAGCTGCAGTTTGGACTTCCCACCCCCTCTTCCTCCATCTTCTCCTCCTTGAGTTCGAGCCTCGCGGCATGGCCGAGGAGAGGTGGGATAGTAGTTGCACGGATCCCCTGGCGCAGTGCATGTCCCCTGCGCTGCAATGATGAAGCACTTTGCCAAGGCAAGCAGAGTCTCAGGATGCTCCTGGAGCAGCCAGGAGAAGGAGAAGCTGCCAGCGGGGAGTTGAGCCGCCCCAGGAGGACCTGAGGAGAGTGCAGCTTCTCACTCATGGAGATCTACCAGTGGGGAAGTGGGCGCAGTAAGAGGTGCATTGGCCAGGAAGCGGTCATGCTCCCTGGCCAGAGAGGGTTGCACAAACCTTTGCTGGAGTGAACATGCAACCCTCTCCTGCCAGGAAGCATGACCACTTCCTGGCTCATGCATTTCTTACCGCTTTCTGTGACCACTTCTCTGCTGGTAGATCTCCATGAATGAGGAGCTGCGTTCTCCTCCAGTCCTCCTGGGGCAGCTCACCTCCCCGCTGGTGGCTTCTCCTTCTCCTGCCTGCTCCAGGAACAGCCTGTCTGTTACCCGGCGAGAACGGCCTGCCACCACAGCCTGCCCCACTCTCTGCCCCAGCAGTTGCTCCTGGGCTGCTGGAGAAGCGGCAGCACAAGAACTGCTCTTGCAAGGGGGTGGCGGCAGCAGGAGCAGCAGTCCAGGGCTTCCCTCCTTCCCTCCGGAGGCCTGGGGCTATGCCAGAAGTCTGCTCGGGCAAAGAGACAAGGAAGCCCCGGACTGCCCATCCTTGCCACCATCGCCCACTCGCCCTTGGCAGCAGCGGTTCTCGCACAGCCGCTTCCCTGGCAGTGGCAGCTGGCAGTGGAGAGGGGATGGTGGCAGGCTGCGGCAGCAGACAATTCAAGCCAGCTAAGAGCTAACGTTCCTCCTCCTGCCAGCCTCGAGCTCAGCTCCGGGCAGCGTCCAGCCAGCCATACCTGGCCTCTCCTTGCAGCAGCTCACATGGATCCCAGGCAGTGCAACTTCAGGACCTTTCCTCATGGTGGCGGTGATGAGGCAGGCAGGCAGCCCGGTGCAGAGGGCGACTGGCGGCAGCGCTCCTGGCTGGCAAAGGGTGGAGTCCCAGGGCTGCATGCGGGCAATGATGGCATGGCCAGTACCATGCGCACTAAAATGTTAAGGCCAGCTGATCTGAGACAGATAGAGGAGCGGTGTCTCAGTTCCTAAGACCATCTAAAATATGTGTTTTCTGATGGTCTTAGGCGACCCCTGTGAAAGGGTTGTTTGACCCCCAAAGGGGTCGCGACCCACAGGTTGAGAACTGCTGTTTTAGAAGCTTCTGACGATCAGGCAAGTCAGCTGGGATTGCCAGAGGCTTTTAAAGGCATTTTTTTTCCTACAACCTCTTTGGACTTTTTAGAAGCTTCTGAGATCCCAGCTGAGCTGCGCGATCATCAGAGGCTTTTTTTTTTAACTTTTAAAAGCATTTTTTCAGCCGAAGAGGTTGTAGAAAAAATGCCTTTAAAATAATAAAAAAGAGCCTCTGATGAGGTGGGCACTGTAAGCGAGCAGCGACCAGGCCGGGGACTAGTTCGGGGGCGTGGCCAGCCAATGTTATTACCAGTTCTCTGAACTACTAAAAATTTTTACTACTGGTTCTTGCGAACTGGTGCGAACCAGGAGCAACCCACCACTTCCTCAATTGTGTCGGATCCTCAGATACTGTCTGGAGAAATTTGTCTCCTTTGTAGGGTTGAGAGAAAGTGACTGGCCCAAGATCACCCAGGTAACTTCATGCCTCAGGTGGGACTAGAACTCAAGATCTTCTGATTTCCAGCTTGATGCTTTAATCACTACACAAAACTGACTATCTATTTGAAAATGTATTGTACCACTAATATTTCTGAACAGCCACATATTTCCTCAGTAAGATCTGTTTTCAGTTTTGGATTCATAAAATCTTTATGCAAGCTGATTCTAGAACAAGAATTTTATAGGAAATCAATGTATTTAATTCAGAAAGCAGAACTCAGTAAAGGCTTCTTCTAATAGACAATTATAAAATCCCCATTGTAAATGCACGCTGAGGAGATTAATATTTTTAAAAATGTTAGGAATTTCAGGCAGATTTGAAAGTAGAAGAAAAGTAGATATTAAATTGTAAAAAGAAGTTGTTCAAAAATAGGAAAAGAAGGCGCATTTATGAAGTAATTATCTGGAAAGGGAAAGCATGAATATCATTGGGATCCTGAGATCAGAGATTTACTAAAGCAGGAATATGAGTTGATATTGTTTAGATGTCACTGAATGCTGATGGAGACATGAGGACTATCATGTTTAGTCTATAAAACGCTGGGTAGTGCAGCCTTACCTGCAAGGGATAGCTATGAAGAGCAAAGGCAATCCAAAATAAAGGTAGTCCTCAACGTACAACAGTTTGCTTAGAGATTGTTCGAAGTTACAACAGCACTGAAAAAAAGTAACAATTTTTCACACTTATGACTGTTGCAGCACCCCCATGGTCATGTGATTTACATTTGGATGCCTGACAATTGACTCACATTTATGATGGTTGCAGTGTCCCGGGGTCATGTGAACACTTTTTGCAACCTTTTGACAGGTAAAGTCAATGGGGAAACCAGATTCACTTAACAACTGTATTACTAATTTAACAACTGCAATGATTCAATTAACAAATGTGGCAAGAAAAGTCATAAAATGGGGCAAAACTTACTTAACAAATTTCTCACTTAGCAACATAAAATTTTGGGCTCAATTGTGGTTGTAAGTTGAAGCCTACCTGTACTGGGGCTGACATTGCCCCTTCCAGTATAAGCCATTGTACTGTAATGGAATAAGTTGCAACATAATAAGTTGTTTTACTTTCAGTTTTTATTTGCTAAATAAAGAAAATTATAATTATACATTTTTCTGTAAAGGTTACTAAACAATATACTCTACAATATGCAGAACAATTGCATACAATATGCATAACTTCTACAACTGAAAAAAATATATAAAGCATCAACTAATTTATACAATTTTATTTATTGATTGGTCTATCGTATTTTTATGCTGCTGCAGTGAAAGACACCATTCATGGCAGCACATCAAATAGGTAGTCATTTTCAATTAGCTCTTTGGTGTTACTGAAAAGCCGTATAGGATTACTTTTTTGTGAATGCATCTAGGAAAGAATTAATTTTGGTATGGAAACTTCATTTAATGTCAGGATTACATAGAGAGATCATCCAGTACTGTACTGTATGTTCCAGGATTTACAGAAACTCTGTAGGATGTTTTTTCTCTGAAAACTCTTTATTCTGGTTCCTCTGTGAGAATGTTACAGATGAAGTTTTGTTTAGTTTCTTTTTCCTTCCCGATTATAAAATAACATAAATGTTATGCTTCATTACATATTATTTCTTTCTTTCTAGACAGTTGAATTTATGATACTTACCTAAATTAAAAAAAAGTTTAAGATACACATCTTGCATTTCCAAGATAAAATGTGAATAAGAGACAATGAAATACGTTGAAATCCTACTTAGTATTAACATACAGTTTCTTAATTCTTATCAATGGAATAGGTCTTTTCATACATTTTAGTTCATTAAGCATTTATATACTTTGTCTTTAAATATTTGTTTTGACAGAAGATACATATTAAGTTTTTAGTCATCTAAGTCTATACTTAATACTTCGTATTCTAATGAGTGTTCTAACGGAAAACTTCAAGTTAGTATTGCATTGCATTATACTATGCTGAAAATGTTTCCTGAATACAAAATATTAAAAAGTTGAATAACAAATAATTCATCCCAAAATTGTGAAAACTATACAAATGGCCATCATTTTGGAAACAACCCAGTATCATTATTTGAGTATTTATCCTTTTGTTACCTTGGCACTATCCATTATTTCAGCAGGCTTTAAAAACTGCTGCCAGTCAACATTCTCATAGAACACCAAAGCTCTTCAATGTTATTAGACCACATACAATGCAAACACAAAACAAAACACTGAGCTAGTAAAAAGTAAAGTTACTAATGTCAGATGAAATTGCCAAGTCAAGTAGTCATGAATTTGCTTAGTTTTAGACATTCTCTAACGGTATACATATTCTGGTAAATATAGCTTGTTAGCTAAAGTTTGTGTGTGCGCACATACACACACACACACTATTTACATTTCCCAGAATATGTGTCCTCATATATATATAACCTACATAACCCTTAGTAATGGGGAATATTCAGATAAAATGACAGATGGCTAAAGCGCAGGAGTTGTAAATTCCACTATGAATTTGACTAAGTATAGGACATGATTATGTGGTGTTATGTGAGGATATGTGAGAAAGACCTTGGGAGATAAAACAAAGAGATGCCTCCTAGGGAATGGTCAGATAAGAGACAACATTATTGCAAGAGCCGAGGTGGCGCAGTGGTTAAGAGTGCAGTACTGCAGCTACTTCAGCTGACTGCTAGTTCAGCAGATCAGCGGATCAAATCTCACCGGCTCAAGGTTGACTCAGCCTTCCATCCTTCCGAGGTGGGTAAAATGAGGACCCAGATTGTTACGGGGAAATATGCTATTTAGTATACTGACTTTGGTGTAAACCACCCAGAGTCCTTGGAGAGTGGGCGGCATAGAAATATGACTAATAAAATAAATAAAAATAAACAGCCTACAACTGAACAGGAGGTGAGGCAAGTGGTCAGAAGCAACCCACTCTGGTTTCTCAGGCTATATAGGCAGGTGAATTGTACTTTCAGACTTAACAGAATAACAGAGTTAGAAGTGACCTTGGAGATCTTCTAGTTCAATCCCTTGCTCAAGCAGAAAACTCTATACTATTTCAGACAAATGATTGTCCAATCGCCTCTTAAAAGCCTCCAGCATTGGAACCCTCACAACTTCTAGAGGCAAGTCATTCCACTGATTAATCATTCTAACTATTAAGAAATTTATCCTTAGTTCTGGTTGGTTCTCTCCTTGCTTAGTTTCCATCTACTGGTTCTTGTCCTGCCTTCAGCTGTTTTGGAGAATAGGTTGACCTCCCTCTTCTTTGTGGCAGTCCCTTAGAGATTGGAACACTGCTATCATGTCATACTTAGTCCTTCTGTTCATTAAATTAAATACCGAATTCCTGCAACTGTTCTTCGTAAATTTTAGCCTCGAGTTCCCTAGTCATATTTGTTGCTCTCTTCTGCACTCTTTCTAGAGTCTCAACATTGTGTTAATGCAGCTTTACAATAAAACAAAATTACTGTATTTTTTGGAGTATAAGACACACCTTTTTATTTTATTTATTTTATTTTATTTATTTAATTTTTATACCGCCCTTCTCCCGCAGGACTCAGGGCGGTGAACAGTCAAAATAACATACATATAAAAATGTGAAATAAAAGCAATTTAAAATAATTAAGCCAATTTGGCTCATCAGTTAAGTTAAGATCTTCAGCATAAAATTTAGACAATTAGAAAACAATTTATGCCAGCCCGGCTTGGTGAAACAGAAAGGTCTTAAGTGCACGACGGAAAGTACGGAGATCTGGGATCATTCGTATCCCTGGGGGTATCCTGTTCCAAAGGGTAGGTGCCCCCACAGAGAAGGCTCTCCCCCTGGGAACCACCTCAAGGGGAGCCCCATGTAGAAAGCATTACAGTAGTCCAGTCGAGAAGTGACAAGGGCATGAGTGACTGTGCATAAGGAGTCCCGATCCAGAAAGGGTCGCAACTGGCGAATCAGGCGAACCTGATAGAAAGCTCCTCTGGCCACAACTGTCATATGCTCTTCTAAAGACAGCCGCGTGTCCAGGAGGACACCCAAGTTGCGAGCCCTCTCCATGGGGGCCAATGTCTCGCCCCCAATAGTCAACGATGGTATCAGCTGGCTATATCGGGACGCCAGCAGCCACAGCCACTCGGTCTTGGAAGGGTTGAGTCGGAGCCTGCTTCTCCCCATCCAGATCCGCATGGCCTCGAGGCACTGGGACATCACTGCAAGGGCATCATTGGGGTGGTCTGGGGTGGAGATGTACAGCTGAGTATCATCAGCATAAAGATGGCACTGCACCCCAAAACCATGGATAAGCTCACCCAGCGGCTTCACATAAATGTTAAACAGAAGAGGTGAAAGGACCGACCGCTGCGGCACCCCACAAATAAGGTGTCTTGAAGTTGACCTCTGCCCTCCTGCCAACACAGACTGCGACCGGTCAGAGAGATAGGAGGAGAACCACTGTAGAACAGTGCCTCACACTCCCAGCCCCTCCATTCGACGCAGCAAGATACCATGGTCGATAGTGTCAAAAGCTGCTGAGAGATCTAATAGAACCAGGATAGAGGAGCAGCCCCTATCTCGAGCTCTCCAGAGATCATCATCCAATGTGACCAATGCCGTTTCAGTGCTGTAACCAGGCCTGTAGCCAGACTGGAACGGATCTAGATAGACAGTTTCATCCAGGTACTGCAGGAGTTGCTGTGCCACCACACTCTCAACAACCTTAGCCACAAAGCGAAGGTTGGAGACAGGACGGTAGTTTGCTAGAACAGCTGGGTCCAGAGAGGGCTCCTTGAGGAGGGGCCTCACCACCACCTCTTTCAAAGCAGAAGGCAAGAAACCCTCACTCAGAGAAGCATTTATAATCCTCTGGAGCCAGCCTTGTGTAACCTCTCGGGAAGCCAGTACCAACCAGGAGGGTCCAATAAACATGTGGTTGCGTTCAACTTCCCCAGTAACCTGTCCACGTCTTCAGGGATCACAGGGTCAAACTCATCCCAAATAACATCCTCAAGACCCGCCTCCATCACTCTGTCTGAACCTACCCAGTCAGAGTCTAAGCCTTCCCGAATTTGAGCGATTTTATCATGCAGATATTGTGCAAAATCCTCAGCTCGACCTTGTAAGGGGTCTTCCCGTGCTCCCAGGTGGAGGAGGGAGCGAGTCACCCTAAAAAAGGCGGCTGGGTAATTATCTGCCGATGCAATAATAGCGGAAAAATAGTTATATTTTGCTGCTGCTATCACCACTAAGTAGGTCTTAATATAGGACCTCACCAGTGTTTGGTCAGATTCGGAACGACTGGCTCTCCAACTACTCTCCAGGCATCTTTTCCGGCGCTTCATTTCCCTCAGCTCCTCAGAAAACCAAGGAGCCGGGCGACTTCGACGCCGGGTCAGAGGCACAACCCGATCCAAAGCACCAGTGTCCATCCTATCCCAGGCTGCCACCAGGTCTTCAATCGAGTTGTGAGCTAGAGTCTCAGGAAATGGCCCAAGCTCCATCTGGAATCTATCAGGATCCATCAGGTGCCTGGGGCGGAACCACTTAATCGGTTCCGCCTCCCTGCAGTGCGGTGTAGCAGACAGAAAGTCAAGCCTATGGAGAGAATGGTCTGACCATGACAAGGGTTCGATGACTATATCCCCTATATCTAGGCCATTCAACCACTGGTCAAATGTGG